GCACTCACAGCCCCCCCCCCCGTTCCCAAGGCCTGGGGAAAGGGGGGTCTTGTGTGACTCCCACCAGTCACAGACTGTTTCCAACAACAGGGTGGGGGGCAGAGCTGCAGAGGGCCCACTGGTCAGGCTCCCTGGCTGGCCTGTGGTGGGGCTGGGGGGGGGCAGGTGATCTCTCATGCAGCTGGGTCGTGAGCTACGTCTGGGTGAACCCCCGGCCCCCAAGCCCCATAGGCAGCCAGTGCCAACCCTGGTAGGGGACAGACTCCTAGAGAGGCTGAATGACGGATGGACTGAATTGGGGCGGGGGAGAGGTGGGGGCTGTGGCTCCCCTGTTTAACTCCTGTCTCTTGTTGAAAGCAGGGCGAGGATACCCCAAACCAACCATCTCGGTGAGCCCCAGCAGGGTGATGGCATTGGGGGAAAACGTCACCATCCGCTGTGAGGGTCGGTACCGGGGCATGGAGTTCTTTCTGCGTAAAGCTGGACACCCGAACCTGCAGGTGCGGTCGGTGCCTGATGGGACCGTGGCTGAATTTCCCATCCCCAGTGTCAGCCGGGAAGATGGAGGGAGCTACACCTGCGACTATCGCTCTCTAGCGGATCAGAGTCGCTGGTCGTATCCCAGTGACCCCGTCGAGATCATTGTAGCAGGTGAGGGGCCCGGCTCAGTGTCCCGGCTCCCAGCCCCACACTCAGCCAGCCCCACAGGGAGTCTGTACACCGATGGGACGCTCAGAGCCAGGCTCTGCCCTGATCCCTGGGTCCAGCAGAGGGGACACCTGGCCGGGGACGGAGTCACTGGGGAGTTCCCCAGCCAGGGAGGAGCAGCAGCTCCTGGAGATTCAGGGCCGAGGAAGGGGGGATCCTGCCTCCAGGGGGAGCTGCAGAGCAGGGGCCTTTCCAAGGGGATGCTCCCCCGGCTGCCCCCGCGCTGGGGACTCACAGAGGAGTCATGGCTCAGGGGCTGCCCAGCCGGCACCGTCCCCAGCCACAAACCCCCCTCCCCAGGACTGACAGTAACGATCGATGCTGAGTCACAGGCAGAGGTGGATAAAGGTTTCCTGGGGCCCTGGGCCAGAGCAAGGGGTCCCTCCCCACCCCTCCCACCTGCCGTCCCTCTCCTGTCCCGCCTCCTAGGCCTGCAACCCCACCCACGGCCCCACCCCTTTGCCCCTTCCCCGAGACCCCGCCCCTATTCCACCCACGGTCCTGCCCCATTCTGTCCCCCCACTGCAGCCCTGCAACCCATTTGCTACTTTATGGTCCCCCACACTACTGCCTCCCCAAGACCAGAGAAGCTCTGTCCCCACGCCTTGGCCCTGGGGCGAAGCGGGGAGTGAGAGTCCCCCAGCCCTGAGGCCATCCTGGGGCTGCAGTGGAGGTCCTGTTGCTAAGGGTTCCCCTACCCCCCCCCATGCTCCTGCGGGGGACCAGGGTCGAGGTGCTGGGGCTTTTCCCATCCTGCTCGCCCGGCAGCCAGAGCTGTGGGGCCCCCCATTTGGCCAGGGCCATAGGGTCTGTCTCTGATCTACCAGTGGTCGCGGAGGGTGTGGGGCGATCTCTGAGTCAGTGTTTCAGCCCCTCCCCACGTCCTGACAGACGCTGGTTCTATTCCCACAGGGGGAACCGACCTGACCCAGCCTGGAGTGGCGCCGGCTCCCACCCGCCTGGGCAGCGCAGGGCCGGGGGGAATCTATTGAGTCACAGACAGTCTACAGGGCGGGGGCAGCTTCCCTCCAGTAGTTGCCTAGGGGGATGGATGGAGGCTGTTCTCAGGGGCATTGACTCCCCCACTGCCCCCCTCCGCTGACGGATTTGGGAGGGGACCGAAGCCTCCTGCTCAGACACAAACCCACCGCTAACAGGGCAGCTGGAGGCTTCCTCTAGGGGCAGCTGGGCCCATCAGTGGCCATGGGCGGGGGGGCGGTGCGTTGGAGCTCCCCGTGAAGCTGCCAGGAGCAGCCAGCATGGGAGGCGGTATACCGGGCTAGATGGGCCTGTTGGCCTGAGCCAGTGTGGCCATGAGGAAGGGGTTGAAATGCCTTAGAAATGACGGTCAGGATGGATCAGACAGAGCCCCCTAGCGCCGTGCTGGGAAAATCGGGCCAGCCCTGAACGATGGGGCGAATGCCCCCTGCTGAGCCCCCCGCCCCCTGCAGTCCAGTGCCCCCTAGCACTACAAATCCATCAAATCTTGCTGGCTCCGACCCCACTTGATACCCTGGGGCCCCCAAATCCTCCCCATTGAATTTTCTGCTGCCTGTTCCCTGTGGAGCCCAAGCCCCTTGGGCACCGCCTGGGGTGGGAGGGGCTGAGGGGGAACAGACCAGCCGCTCCTGGCACTCACGGCTCTGCTGTTTCCCAGGCGGATCGGAATCGCTGGCATCTCCGGGTCTGACCAGCCCCATCATCGCCGGGGTGAGCGTGGTAGCTGCTGTCCTCCTCCTCCTCCTTGTGGCCTTCGTCTGCTTCAGAAAAACCCGAGCCAGTAAGTGCCCCCCCAGCGAGGGAAGGGTTAAACTTGCCGCTAAGCAGGGCGGGATGGGGTCACGGCTTGGATGGGGGACTGTGCCGGGGAAGCCAAGGACGGGGGGTGGGGGGTGAAGACTCAGCAGTAATCCCTGTACACACAGCTGTCACACCCACCCCAGAGGTGGTGGCATCTCAGCCCTGGGCGAGGGGTCCCTGTATAAAGAGCCACCGGTACCGTGCCTCTCAGGTGCCAGGGGAGCCAAGCTGTGGACCAGGTTCATTATAACAAGTCACTAACGAGGGAGGATTGGGGACAGGAAAATCCCCCTCAGTTAATCTGCCCCTAGCCCCTGGAGCATGCTCTGGTGTTGCGCTGCCCCCTGCTGGTCCATCGCACCCCAGCAGGGATCCAGGTTCAGCACCACCAGCAGAGGGGACCCTCCCAGGCACCTCCATCCCTGCTGCCCTGTTGGGGTGAGTGGCCGGGTGCTGGTACCAGCGGATTCCGATCGGCTCATGGGGGATTTTGGTTTGTGTCCCTCTGCAGGAAAAGGAGCTGCACCGAGACCAAGCAGGTAGGAACCCAGCTCCTCCCCGCTCCGAATCAACCTGCCGGGGTCACAGTGCTCCTGGGTTCTGTCCCCAGTTTGGGGAGGGGAGTGGGGTCTAGTGGTTAGAGCGGGGTGGGGTGGGGGTGGGGTCTGGTGGTTGGGGCAAGGGGGGTTTAGGGAACTAGGTTCAGTGTGAGGCAGGATGGGGGCTCTCTGGGTGTTTTGAGGAATCTCCCCACGGGTAGGGGGATATGACATTTACAAGGGAATTTTCTCTTTTAGCACCAGCCCTATGGTGGCATTAAAGGCGCCGGCTCAGCAAGACCCCATCTGTGAGTAACACACCCAGGGGGGTACCAGGGTGGGGCAGGAACCCTGGGGAGGGGCGGGGCTTGTGGGAGCTCCACCCACATGGTGCAGGACCTGATTTATAGCTGCTACTGGGCGGGATTAAGGAGAGGTTCCTAGAGGTAGCTGGTGTCAGCTGAGAGTGTTGGACTCCCAGGAGCTCCCTGGAGCCTCCCTCCCTTCCCACTCTAGTTCCCATCCACTCCTGGCTTCCAGACCCCTGCTCTAACCACTAGTCTAGACCCCGAGCCAGGGAGAGAACACAGGCGTTCTGACTCCCAGCCCCGCGTCCCGCTGTAACCAACTAGACATCTTTGTGCTTCAGTTTCCCTCTCTGTAACATGGGGCTAATGACCCTGGCCCATGCTCTGGGGTGGAGGAGGGGTGGTTGTGCTGGGCTCTGACCCCACTGGCTGGACAGAGGGGTCAGAGCTGGGTGTGGGGTTCTGCTCTGGGCTGGCCAGGGGTACAGCTCAGAGAGTGTCTCTGTTCTGCAGACGCCTCCATGGACGAAGGGAAAGAGCCGCAGACCCTGGTAAGTGTCCCCTGTTCCCCCAGGGGTCTGACCCCCAACCCTGACCCACATGGGCCCCAGCAGCCCTCTCACATCCCCCCCCCCCAGCCTATCCTGGCACACTCAGTGGTTTGGGTTGGGATCGGGCTATAATGGGGGGATTATGGGATCGCCAGCTGGGATTGCAGGGTGTGTGTGTGTGTGTGTGTGTATTTCCCTGTCGCCCCCTGTTTGAGGGGATGGACCCTGCTCTGTGTGTGTGGCCGGGGGTAGGTGCATGCGCGGCGCACACACACACACACACACACACACACACACACACACACACGAGTGACTCTCTCCCCTCCCACCCCAAGGAGCCCGGCATCTACGCTGAGCTGGACCGCCAGACGCTGCAGCCCAGTGTGTACGATGTGATCAACGTGAGCCGGGGAGCCCCGCAGTGAGAGCCCCCCGCAGCCATGGGGCGCCAGACCTCGGGGCAACAGCCTCTCGCCCCAACAGCGCCAGCCCCAGAGAACTCTGCATCTAGGGAAGATTTAGGGGGATGCTGCCCTCCCCTCGCTGCAGCCCCGTCCCATCAAGCTGCCCCACGCAGACCCACATGTGGGGGAAGGGGGGGGGGCTCAGCACTGGGATGGGTAGGAGATGCTTCAAGGCAGCTTTGATGTTATTTTGCATCCTCTTAACCTCCAGATTGTAATAAAGACAGATCATTAAACCAGCCCCCCCGGGCAGCCCCCAACCCCTGTCCCGGCGCCAGGAGAGTGTGTCACACCTGGGGGAGATGGGGAGCTGCCGGGGAATCAGGTTTATGTTGAGTTTCACTGGGAGTAGCAGAACCAGCAAGCGAGCACCGGCTCTGGCCACACTTCCCCTTTTCACAGATATTTCGGTTGCTGTTTTAGCAACTTAGGATCTAAATTTATCCCTCCCCCGTCCCATTCTGGGGCCAGAAACCACAACCCCTCCACCCCTCTGTCCCGTCTCTATCTCACACCATTGTGCTAAGAACAGCATCTACAGCGATGCTACCTGAGAAGCAGGTTGGCCAGGACCCTCCACCCTCTGAGAGAGTGGACCCCCAAGATGGGCCATCGCACTGAACGGGGTTCCCCCCAGGGACCGCACGGGGCCAAGAGTGGACACGATCTGTGAGTCCGTGACAACGTGGTAGCAGAGGACGGTTGGTGGCTGCACCCTGTAGATGGTTGGCTGCGAGTGCAGGCGCTTTGCAGTGAGTGGTGGCCAGCAATAAAATGAGGGAATTGAAAGGAACCAGCCTGGACATGGCCTAGAACCAGCTCCGTAAGAGGGACCTGGCACCTGGGAGAGGGGGCTGAGCATTGGGAGGATCCCCAAGGAGCGGCTGATTGCTCAGCTTGTAGAGAACGACCAGTCTGAGGAACAGACTCCAGATCCCAGGTGGGCTCTCGGGGTGTAGCCAGGGGGCGGTCACTGTAGCAGCCAGGAGTCTATCAGATCGAACGCCCCAGTCAGGTTTCTGCCTGGAGGAGCTGTGGAGACTGGAGCTAAAAGCGAAGAAGCTGGAGCTGGAGGAGCAGAGGCTGGTGGACCGTTCAGAACAGCAGAAGCACGAGTTGGAGTTGGACGAGCGGCGGGCCAAGAGGGCCTGCCGGGAGGTAAGTGGGGAAGGGCCCAGAGACGCCAGTTTTGTGGGGAATCTAGACACCAAACTGCTGCCCCAGTTCGAGGAGGGGGGGATAACGATGCCCACCTCACAGCCTTTCAGAAGGCTTGTGATCTGTACCAGATTGACCCTGCAGACAGGCTTCGCTGTCTGACCCCCCTGCTGGGTCCCAAGGCCATAGAGAGATTCAGCCAAATGGATGGTGTTGAGACGGGGGACTATGACCTGTTCAAACAGGCTTTGCTGCTGAAGTTTGAACTGACCCGAGGCATACAGGAAACAATTCCAGGGTGTGCGCAAAACCCCAGGTGTCACTTACAAGGAGGTCGCCAACCTGCTGGGGGAATATCTCTGCAAGTTGGGGAAGGACACAGGGGCCACTACCACAGAGGACGTGTATAACCTGGTGGGGTTGGAGCAGCTGTATGACATCTGCCCTCCGGACCTTAAGATGTGGCTAGTGGACCGGAAGCCCAAAGACCTGCGCAGTGCTGGTGCACTGGCGGATGAGTTTGTGGACAGCAGATAGGGGCAGGAGGGAGACCCACATCGGGGACTCAGAAGGGGAGTCACCCAGAGACCTCTCAAAGATGGGACTCCAGGAAGCCCAACTCGGGGGTGCCCAGGAATGCGGGGGCACGCTGACCCCCTCCGTGGGACTTGAGGAACCTGAAATGTAATTACTATGGCCAAAAGGGACACAAGGTGGCACAGTGCCTGAGGATGAAGGAAATGGCAGCCAAGCAGAACCCGTGGGTGTCAACTGGGTGGAAACCCCATGAGAGGGGGCACCACAGGTCCAGGGGGCTGCAGTCGAGAGGGCTGTGTCAGGGGGAGGGCACCATCAGGCCAGCAGGGGAAGGCGGGGACCCAGCCCCAGAGTGCCCATACTCAATCCACTGGGTGAGCATGGGACAGGCCCCAGGGAACAATCACCACATCATCCCTATTGAGGTGTGAGGGAAGACGCATCCAGGGGTTCTGGGCACGGGTGCAGAGGTGACACTGGCACTTTACAAGGTGGTGGGCCCAGACCAGCTAATGCCTACATGACTCTGAGGGGAGTGTTTGGGCCCCCCATCTGTAACAGACTCACAGAACGTGCCCTGGCCTCCCTCAGCCCAGCACATCCAAGTCTCCCCTGCATCCAGGTGGGCTCTGCCTGCTCCCTCTCTCCAGCCCAGAGCCCCCCCCTGCTTCTGAGCTGGGCATCTGATATCCCCGGCCCCAGGCCCCGCTTCTGTCCATGGTCTTCTCTCCAGGTAAACAGGATCATAAACCAGGTCGCATGGGCCTCCTCTCCTCTCTTTGCAGCTGTCAGGGTGTAGACTCACCCCTGCGGCGCCTCCTGCTGGTCATCTCAGGAATTAACTCTCCGGCCATTGGAGCGCCCTCTGTAGGCTGGTGATCCGCTACAACTGGGCTCCCATGTCCCTCCCTCCCGGACCCGGTGCCCTGTTGTCTGAGGTGCTGCCCCCTCACAGCTCTGGGTCTTGCCCTCCCAGGGGAATCCCCACCCACTGTCCCCACTTCACCTCAGTCTTGGCTACTGCCCCGTCTCCATCTAGCCCCCGTTCACCTCAGGGAAAGGGGTTTGGACCTGCTGCCTCTGCCTACCCATGGGCTGCCTCTTCAACCCAGTACCTAATAGGCCTTACCAGGCCTGCAGCCTGGGGCTTTCCTAGGCCAGAGCTCACCAGCTCCCTTGGCCTTTCCCCAGCCCTGCTCCACTCCAGATACCTGGTTAACCTCCCTGCAGCCAGGCCCTTCCCTCCCTGAACACAGAAGGACACTGCTGAGCTCCTGGCTCCCGGCCTTTTCATACAGGCCAGCTGAGGCCTGATTGGGGTGTGGCCCAGCTGCGGCCGCTTCCCCAGTCAGCCCAGCTTTTAGAGCTGCAGCCCTCACCCCGGCTGCTTTCAAGCCCTTCCAGGCAAGAGTGAGTGTCCATCCCGCTACAGCAGCCCATTGTCCTCCCCCTGGCCAGAACCGGCGTCGACTCCTGAGCTGGGCCTCCGGGTCACCCGGTCACCAGTCGCTGGGGTCTCCATTCTCCACGCCAGTGGTTGGGGTCCCAAGTTCTCTCGCCGGTCCTCTGTAACAACAAACTCCCTCTCCCATCACCTCGTTAACCTGTGGCACCTAGGGAAACTGAGTCCCACCCCCTCTGCATGCAACCCTAGGAAAACCAAGAAAATCCCCCATAGGAAACAAGGAAAACAAGAAACTCCCTCACTTCGTCACACCATCAAGGTGCGTGTAGCGAGGATACTCCTGAAATGGAGGGCTAAGGAGGGACCCGAAGAGGGATCACCTGCCTACCGAGGTGCTAATGGGTAATGACTTGGAGAACTGGCCGGATGACACTCACAGCACCCTGGTCCTTACCCGGAGCCAGAGCCAGCGAGGGGCGCGGGACCTCCCAAAGGGTGGGGACCGAAGCGCCGAAGGTAGGGCTCGACAGGGGTGGGCCGGAGCCTCTGTCCCAAGGGGGGGAAACTGAGGCACTACCAACCAGGGCTGTATCCTCAAACCCAGCAGCTGAGTTCCAGATGGAGCTGCAGGAGGATCCCTCCTTGGAGAAGCTGAAGGCCCTGGTTGGCCACGGCGGTGCAGGATCCCAGCGGGAGGACTGCCAGGAGAGATTCCTGTGGCAGAAGGGATTCCTGTACTGGGTATGGGCGGGTTCAGGGCAAACCGAACCTTGGAAAGTCGGGAGGCAGCTGGTGGTTCCCCAGAGGTACCGCTGCAAACTGTTGTTCTTAGCCCACGATATCCCCCTTTCGGGGCATCCAGCACACCAGGCAGAGGCTGCTGCAGAACTTTTACTGGCCCGGGGCCTTTGACGCTGTCCAACAGTATTGCAGGACCTGGGACTCCTGCCAAAGGGTGGGGAAGGCCCGGGATATGTGTAAAGCACTCCTGAGACCTTTGTCCATCATAGAGGAGCCTTTCCAGAAGGTGGCCGTGGACATAGTGGGGCCCCTCAGCAGGGTGACCTGGTGTCACGGACTCACAGATCGTGCCCACTCTTGGTCCCGTGCGGTCCGTGGGGGGGTGCCCCTTTTAGTGCGACAGCCCTTCTTGGGGGTCCACTCTCTCTCGGGGTCAGGCCCCTCCACCTCCTGGATCCATACCTCTCAGAGCCCTAGCACACCTGTTTCTCGCAGTGGGCCCCCTCGGGGAGTCCTCTCGCTCTGGACCCCCCGGGCCTCCACCCCCAAAGGGGTTGATGCCACCCTGTTCTCTAGACCGGAGAGACTCTCAGCCAGCATGAAACAGGAGGGTTTGTTGAGAGTTGAACACAGCACAGGAAACTCTCAGGGCCTCAGGCCTGGCCTCCCTCAGCCCAGCACATCCCAGTCTCTCTGCATCCAGGTGGGCTCTGCCTGCTCCCCCTCTCCAGCCCCGAGCCCCCCTGCTCCCAGCTGGGCATCTGAGATCACCGGCCCCAGGCCCCGCCTCTGTCCATTGTCTTCTCTCCAGGTAAACAGGGTTGTAAACCGGAGCCTCCTCTCCTCGCTTCTGTCCTCTGGCTGGAACCAGCTGGTTAGGTCACTGGGTCCTCACTCTGCAGCCCATTGTCCGCCCACTGGCCAGAACCAGCTGCGTTTCCTCAGCTGGGCCTCCAGGTCACCAGGTCACCGGTCACTGAGGTATCCATCCTCCCGGCCATCGGCTGGGTCCCCGAGTCCTCTGTCTGGTCCTCTGCAAAACACACTCCCTCTCCCCTCACCTCGTTAAACCAGTAACACCCAGGGAAACTAGGTCCCACCCCCTCTGCACGCAAACCATTGAAACTCCACAGAAAACAAGAAAACCCCCCACTACATCACACCTGGTCAGGGAAGAAATACATTCTGGTGGTGGTAGATTTCACTACGCTCTACCCCGAGGCAGTGGCCTTGTCCTCTATCAAGGCAGACACCATGGCAGACACGCTGCAGGCCATTTTCAGCTGAGTGGGGTTCCCCAAGGAGGTCCTTACAGACTAGGGGGTCTAACTTCATATCAACCCTGCTCCAGTGATTGTGGGGGAAGTGTGGGGTGCAGC